CAAGAGGATCGCTTCAGCCCAAGAGTTGGAGGTTGCTGTGAGCTATGATACCATAGCACTCTATCCAGGGCGACGGCTTGAGACTCTGTCTCAAGAAAAAAAAAAAGTATCTCAAATATTTTGAGTCTATTGTAAAGACTTCTTTCATGTACACAAAGCAAAATTTGTAGAGCATGAGTCAGAGATAGCAAATTTTCCCTAACTCAATTAAATAAATAAGGGATGAAGGCCAGGTGTGGTGGCTCACACATGTAATCCTAGCACTTTAGGAGGCTGAGGTGGTTGGACTCCCTGAGCTCACAGGTTGGAGACCAGCCTGACCAAGAGCAACTCCCTATCTCTAAAAATAGGGCACTGTGACAGGTGCCTATAGTTCCATCCACTTTGGGAGGCTGAGGCGAGACAATCCCTTGAGCCCACGTGTTTGAGGTTGCTGTGAACTATAACGCTACAGCACTCTACGAGGGCCACATAGTGACTCTGTAAATAAATAAATAAATAAATAAATAGGGCATGGTGGCTCATGCCTGAAATCCTAGTGCTTTGAGAGGCCAAATTTTCAAAATCACCCTGGGAAACAGTAAGAACCCTTATCTATATCAATAAATAAAGAGACACGTAAGTAAATACATAAGAAAAGTTCCTGTGACATCAGACTGAACAGAATTGGGGACAGGGCCACCAAAAGTTCAATGTGCTACCTACCAAATGCTTTCCCTGTCCTTGTTAGTTTTATCAGAAGACTGACCTCACTCAAACCAACTGTTAAGACTGCAGTTGGGACTGGTTGAGTAGCAAAATGTATCTTCCCCAGGGAACTACTTCATCAACACTTCCTCCTAGGCTTTTGCCCTCAGCCCAAACTGGGTTTTTTCCTCTAACTGCTCATTTGTTTGCTGCATTAAGAGAACCACCAATAGAGACTACAGGATGACTTCTAATTCTTTTTCTTATCCTAAAATCCTTCAACCTGATGTATGGGCAGCTATCCTATCCCCTGCCTTTGCCCATATTTTGGATGCCAGGGGCCCCAAGCTAAGAACCAATTGGCAAGGGCATTTACTTGACTTTTGGTCTGTAGTGAGGTAGGAGGAAAGTCAATGTCCCAGTCAATAATATCAGCTTTCCTGCCAGTGAGCTGGGATTGAGGGAGAAACTAGGCATCTTCCCACCTTTTTCTAGTCTTAAATATAACTGTGTAAGCAGGTAT